GGCCGGTCAAGGCAGACGGGGGCGAAGAGGGAGCAGAGGAAGAGCTGGGTGTCGGTGTGGCACTGCTTGGCGAGCAGGGGCACCCAACTGCCAACCTGCTGGAACACGAGACCATGGCCGAGGCCAAGCAGCAGGCTGGCAGCTGGGTGCCCCTGCTCGCCAAGCAGTGCCACACCGACACCCAGCTCTTCCTCTGCTCCCTCTTCGCCCCCGTCTGCCTTGACCGGCCCGTCTACCCCTGCCGCTCCCTCTGTGAGGTGGTACGGGACTCCTGTGCCCCTGTCATGGAGTCCTACGGCTTCCCCTGGCCTGAGATGCTGCAGTGTGGCAAGTTCCCCTCTGACCACGAGCTCTGCATCGCCGTCCAGTTTGGGAACAGCAAAGCCACGCCACCACCAGGTAAGTGGGAAGGGTACTGCAATGGGATGGGAATGCATGTGGAGCCCCTGCACAACCCAGGACACTGGTGTTGGCCAAGGACTCTCTGCAACAGGGCAGGAGCAGGCAAAGTATCAGCTTTGTCTGGGCATCACTCAGTGCCCCGGAGCACTGGGCTCCCAGCTGCCTGCACAGAACTGTGGCAGGAGAAGGAAGAACATGGGATGAGGTGGGAGCCACTGGCGGATCAGTCACAGTGCTGCGTCCCTCTCCTCCCACTGAGTCCCATGTCAGCAGCGAGGGAGCATGCTGCAGCTGCGGGTGTCAGCCCCACACTGCTGCTGCAGGGTGGCTGTCCCCTCAGGCGGGAGAGGGGACATCACCCAAAGGCAGCCTAGCGTCAGGATCCGGGCTGTAACAGCCTTCAGCCTGGAGCCACCCTTACTCTTGCTGTGCTCCAAAGTTCCTCCATCTGATGGGAGGGTATCCCCATGTCTCTTCCCCTCTGGGGGATGACCCTGGCCAGCAAGGTGCTCTGCGCCTCCCCACATCACTCCAGCTACCTAGGGAGCAGAGGAGCTGCTGGGGCTCTCCCAACTGTGTCCCCGAGGAGCTGGCCCAGGTGACAAGTACCAGCAGCAGGAAGCTGTGACAGTAACTGGTCTCTCACCGCAGTGTCCAAGATCTGCACCCAGTGTGAGATGGAGCACAAGGCAGATGGCATGATGGAGCAGATGTGCTCCAGTGACTTTGGTGAGTGCTGGGGTCTTCTTCCCAGCTCCCCTGGACAAGGGTCTGCCTCCCCTAGGTCTGACAGCTGGGGTGGGAGTTGGCCAGAGGGCAGGTTGCCCCATGGGAGAGCCCTGAGCCATTCCCTTGGACTCTTCATGCATGGGATGGGTGCACCACAGGAGAACACACTGGTAGGGGAGAGGCAGAACGGGACATTTGGGAGGGTCACTGGGAGCCTCTGCTGGACCCCTCCCCAACAGCCCCTTTCCCCTCCCCACACAGTAACTTCCCCAGAGACCCAACCCAGGGATGGGCTGCACCCTGTCCTGCACAGGTGCCTGGCCTAGACCCTCCCCAGCAGTGCTCCCTTCCCCCAACCGTGCCCCACGGCTGCCCCACACAGTGGTGAAAATGCGCATCAAGGAGATGACGGAGGAGAACGGGGAGCGGCGGCTGGTGGCTGCTCAGAAGAAGAAGGTGCTGAAACTGGGCCCGCTGAAGCGCAAGGACACCAAGAAGATGGTGCTGCACATGAGGAACGCAGGTGCCTGCCCCTGCCCCCAGCTTGACAGCCTCAGTGGCAGCTTCCTGGTCATGGGCCGCAAGGTGGGCGGCCGCCTGCTCCTCCTGGCCATCTACCCCTGGCAGAAGCACAACAAGGAGATGAAGTTTGCGGTCAAGTTCATGTTCTCCTACCCGTGCCCGCTCTACCACCCCCTCCTCTACGGGGCTGGGCAGCACTAGGGCTTTGCCCATGTTCTTTCCCAGAACTCCTGCACTTGCCCAGCATCCCACCCCTGGCCTCCCTGGCTGCACCCCAGGACCTCAGCTCTGCTCACCTCAGCCCCTTGGTTGTGCCCCAGAACTCAGCTCTGCACCTGCAGGAATCCCTGCTGTGTTTGTGAGAGCCCTGATCCACAGCCAGGACCCCTGCCTCCTCCTGAGAGCCCTGCTCTGTACCCCTGGGACCCCTGTTCTGCTCCAAGGGCCCCCATTCCTGGCCAGAAGCTTAGTGTGGACCCAGGACCCTTGTTCTGCAGCTTGTGAGCCCTGGCCTGCACCAGAGACCCTTATCTACTCCCAGGTTCCCTGCCCAGAAGCACAGAGACTCATGCTTTCATTTAGGATCCCTGCTTGGCCCTCCTGTCTACACCTGGGACCCCTACCCTGCACCCATGACCTTTACCCAGCTCACTCATGATATGCCACACACCTTCAGCCCCCCCAATCCCTATTCCAGTCCACCTATGCCCTCCCCTGGAGCTCACATCCAGCCCTGGATTATGTCACCTCCACAGAGACCCAGCTCAGCCAGGTCCCTCTTATCCCTCTTTTCCCACAGACTGATCCCCTCAAGACCAAGTGGCCAGAGCAGCCAGCACAAACCCTTTCTGGGCTCCCCCACTCCCCACACGGTGTGAGGGGGGGCCCACTTCCAAGCACCCCAGACCACCCCTACTGTATCCCTCACACACACCCCTGATGTGACCCAGCCACGCACCCCTTGCCCATCAACACCACAGTAAATTATTCCACCTCAGAGAAGTCTGTGTGCCACTCACTGCAGTTCATGGGTAAGAGCCCCTTGGGGCTCCCTCAGGGACCCCAGAAGAATGGGGG